TGCCCCAGAGAAGAGATGTCAGTGTGACATCTGTCCTGCCTCAACCTGACTCTTCTCAGCCCAAGGTCTTAAGCATGGGACTGAGGGCAAATACAGCCTCTTCACACAGGTAACACACCAAAACTCAAACCACACCACTGCAGCCCCCACGTCCAGCAGGTTGGTGTGCAGACTTCTCCAGGGGCCACCCAGGGTACAGCAAAAATGCTTTGCGTACCCCATTTTGCACAGCGCACAGCCCCAGTTTGCCCCAGAGAAGAGATGTCAGTGTGACATCTGTCCTGCCTCAACCTGACTCTTCTCAGCCCAAGGTCTTAAGCATGGGACTGAGGGCAAATACAGCCTCTTCACACAGGTAACACACCAAAACTCAAACCACACATTCAAGCTCCATATACAAACAGACTATTGGTTTGGCAGACTGGTGCTTTGAGAACTTGCCCGTGACAGCTTCAGGAGACCCCTCCACACACATCCTTGGGCAAGAGATGCTTTAGAGTAAAAGCAAGTGCAATCATCTCCACTGCTCTGTTGCAGGTGAACAACAGTTTGAGGTTTCTCAGAAAAATACTCTGAGTGGCAGATTTAGCCTCCAAGGACACAAGTGTCTTCCTGCACGTGGATGGCAAGCTCCCTGGATGCAAAAACCTTCCAACTCTTCCTCTCAGGAGATTCTCAGCTCCTGTGTCACGAATTCAAAACAAACACTAATGACTCAGCAAGTGCTGAGGGAGCTGTTAGAACTCATTGCTGGGCCACTCTCCATCATCTTTGAAAGGTCCTGGAGAACAGGCAAGGTGCTTGAGGACTGGGGGAAAGCAAATATCACTCCAGTCTTCAAAAAGGGCAAGAAGGAAGACCCAGGAAACTACAGGCCGGTCAGCCTCACCTCCCTCCCTAGAAAGATGATGGAAGGGCTTGTTCTGGGAATCCTCTCAAAGCATGTGGAAGAAAAGTAGTATCAGAAGCAGTCAGCTTGGATTCACCAAGAGGAAATCTTGTCTGACTAATCTGATAGCCTTCTACGCTGGCCTGAC